CACTTGATTTCAAAATAATATTAAAATTCAAAACAAGTTATGTACAACAAATTCTTCAACACTATAGATATTATAGGAATATCATAAATACTATATATATAGTATTCTTGTCAAATATCCACTTAGGCCTAGTAAATTACTTTAGAATTGCAGTTGACATGCCGAACTATCTTCTCTATTGCTATCGCACAAGTATTCTGTGTGTAATTCACTTATAATTGTGGTGCAAGTTACCGTAATCGTATTGCACTTGACATTCGATAGTCTCAACATCAACAAAACTTCCTACAATGGTCTGCTTTTAACTCTTATTAGAACAAAAACTAAACAATAATAAAATATTCACTCACAAAAATAAATTAATAAATAGTATCTAAGCTAAACAGTTTTTTGTATCATGACAAATTGAAAATTGTGCTTCTGTTATGCTGTTACTGTAAGTATGCTAATTATTGTAATAAATGTGTATAGCTAGTAATTAAGTGGTTAGTTTGGACATAGTAATGCTTGAGAAAAGGAACATGATGGAAAAAAAGTTTGATTAGTTAATCAACTAGAATTAAATCTTAACTCTTATATTAAAAAACATGTATTACTCTAGATTTATAAATGAGCCACTGGACCAGCCCAAAGATAGTTAAAAGTAGACATAAGACAAAAATACAATAAATATTTAAATTTGTTTTTCTCTCTCTCCCACCAGGTATGTGCAAAATTCCTCCTGTGTTGATATGCAATTTTTCATAATTTTTATGTGTAGATTGTTATTACTTTTACCTACAATTAAACTTAGACTCCACTTCAAATATAAGTAATTAGTAATAACTTCCAACTATTGAGTGATACTAACTTGGAGCTTCCCAGACACAGTTCCTTGCTGGTTTTTTTGCTTTGAGCTATAAGAAACTTGCAAAGTGGTATCATAAATTCATGAGTAATACTTGGAAGCTGTTTCAATAAAACAAATGCATGTGAGTGACTTAAAATTATATATATATATATATATACAATTTTAAATTACATCAAATGCACTTGTTAGTTGAAATAGCTTACAGGTTTTGTTCACATATATAGTAATTGAGGTTTACTTCTAGTTGATTACCTAATCAAACCTTTTTTTTAATAATATTCCTTTTCTGCAGCATTACTATTTCCAGACCAATCATGTAATATAAATATATATTCTAACTTTACAGCATGTGGGATGTACCATAACACCCACTGTTAAAAATTATAATGCATTATTCCTTGTTGAGATAAACTGTGTAATATCAAGCAGATTTACCACTAACTGGCAACTAAATGTTTATATTTTAGCATATTGTTGTTGATACCATATTTCTCATGTTTTCTAGAAGCATAAAGGACATCTTCCACTACGAATTAAAGCAGTACCTGAAGGCTCTGTTGTCCCTACACGGAATGTCCTTTTTACTGTTGAAAACACTGATCCTGTTGTTCCATGGCTAACAAACTGGTTTGAGGTGTGTTGAACTAGATGTGTTAGCATTTTTCTTCTTTTTTTTTGTTGTTGTTGTATTTTTCTTTAACAGCTTCTAATCAACATGATGAACAAGAGAAATTCATACACTTGAGTCAGAATCATAATTTTTCAAACAATCCTCTTAAAATGTTAATCATTTGTTTCAAGAATATTTATAATTTACCTGTATTATAATTCAAAAAATTAACATTCTGTTTTGTATATTTCTGTAGTATTCATAATTCTTAAACAAGTGGAAACTTAAATTGTGTAAGTTTTTTCAAATTCCCGTTTCTTTGAACCGGACAAGGGCTTTAACATCTTCCTAAATTGTAGGGATGCGGGCTAAAATCATCTTGTGTTTGAACTTCAATTTTAGGTAAAGCACTTGTTCAGACACAGTGGCAGGACATAGGTGCTAGTTTCATTTTAGTTTAAATTTTTCGGGCTGTTACGATGTGATAGAGTTTCCATCACCTACACATTTATATATATATATATAAATATGTTTTTTTATAAAAATATCCTAAAGCTATGACATGTATAAGGTTGGTATTAAAAGTCTGAAAAGTTTTGTGCTTTTTGCTTATGACAGTGCTATTACAGGGGGTTAAACACACTTTATGTAAACAATTTGTGTATGTTAGTGCACTAGTTTGCTGTTCAACATATAAGCCATGATTCCATGGGGAACATATTCATCATCTGAATATTTAGTTCTCAATGCTCCTTACCATTTGAAAGTGCTTTGCTGTCATAGATGAACTTACATCTAAAGGAATATGTCAGTTTTCCAAGCAGGATATTGGTATAATGAGATTGTTAAATGATGTACTGGCATAAGACCCAAAATATTGAAGGAGGGAGCCATCAATGTGTAATGAAATCTCCCCTGAAGGTAATCCAAATCTTGCCCCTATCCTCAAACTAAAGGCTATAGTTATAAAAGAAAACCAACTGACCAAAAAAAAAGATTGAAATAAAAACTAGATGTATTTCTTGACACAAGATAATATACAACAATTTTAAGTTCAAATGTTTTCAGACTTCCAGCAGTATTTTAAAAACAATGATTGATTTCATGAAAAAGAAGGCCAACTAAACGAGAATCATAGCAGTCTCATTTGACCATATACGTGTCAAGTCTTCTAATGGAAGTTTGGTTCTTTATACCACTTAAACGTTTTGTTAGAAGAAAAGTCTGCATACAATGGAGGATGTTGGAAAGATTATCAAGATACATAGTCTACGATTCGCTTCACCAACATTTGCAGAAGCTTTTTGTAATGGAAATTTCAGCATTGGGCAATAGTGTGTAATTACAGTTATCAGACTGAGCAAGGTCAATAATGTATGAAAAAGTTCCAAAGGTTAACACCAGACCTTGAACATTGTTTTTATAAACTGTTAGTAACCTCACTGCCTCTAGTTTTGATAATAATCAGTGCATCAATTGTTATATATCACAAAATAAGTCATTTGTAAAGTTTGTGCCCATTTTCTAAATATATGCACATGTTTGTACCATGACCATAAACTTTATAAATGACTTTTTTGTAATATTTTTTCTTCTGGGATTATGGTTCAAAGTTGATAGAATATACTAAACTTAACATTAATTTGAATTAATGAAAAATTTAAGTTCTCATTTAGAATGAGAATTTATGTAATAAACTTTCCAAAAGCACACATTTCTTGTAGGTACATGCTATTTAATCTTGTTGTTCAAACAAAAGTAACAGATATTACATACTTAACTACATAAAAAAAAAAAAAAGTGATTTTTAAAGGTGAATGCTAACATTTGAGAAGAATGATAATACATACTGTCAGAGTTTTGTATATGGACTGAGATTTTTTTACAGTAAGTGTCTGTGACTTGTTGGAATATAAATTCTAACGATAAATGGACAGAACACAGTCCACCTGTTTTAAAATAATATATTCAAAACAAGTCAAACATATGCACAAAAATTCTTTACATTATAGGATATCACAGTTGTATCTAACACTATAAATAATTCTCTTTTTCTGTCAAAAGTCCACACAGTTACTTTAGAGCCCAATTGAGAAGACGAATTATTTTTCTCTACTGTTTCTTATTACACAATCTGCGATAAATTCACCTACATTACCCCATGGGTTACCACGGTTGTATCTAGAACTTTAAATAATTGTCTCCTTTTCATCAAAGTCCACACAGTTGGATTCAGTTACTTTAGAACCCAATTGATGAGACATATTATTCTTCCCTATCTCTTTTTCTCACTATACAATCAGCAATAAATTCACTTACAAAAAGCTACCAAAGTTGTATCCAGAACTTTAAATAATTGTCTCCTTTTCGTCAAAGTCCACACAAACGAGTTCAATT